TTTCACATGCAGAGTTTTATAAGTCCTTCTTCCAAGTCTTATCTACCTTAATCAGTCTCTACACTTTTTTCTGTTGTTGTTAATCCAGAAATCCACAAGTCATCATGGCCTTTGCTTTAGTGTTATTCTTACCAGTCAGGGGACCAGTAACATTCTACCCACAGAACCCTTTTCACGTGTGGAAATGTACCTCCATCTGCACAGTTCCACTCATGGCAGCCAGAACGGAGTCTTTACAGCTTTTTATTAGTCTCTGCAAAACTACCAGGGTAATGGAGTAAAAACTTGAAAACACAAGTCTCAGTAACTCCCACCTTACTATGTTGCAAAGCTATGCCTGGTGAAGCTTCTACATGCTTTGTGAACTTCTTTCAGTGTCTCTGTCACTCAAGTGTCCTGACTTCCTCAATCTGTACAAAACACAGCTGTTGCTCTGAGGAAAGAAGTTTATTTGGAACCAAAATCAGAGTGTGCTTAGGAACAGGGATTTAGTTTGTCCTGGATGATGCATTAGACCACTTCAGCAATTACATTATAGGCACAGAAAAATGTAACCCAAAAATTGATGCTTTGCCAGAATCCTTGGGCATCAGGCAGGTAGATTATAGAAAAGGGGGTAATTTATAATTTATAATTAATTTGTGATTTGATCTATTAAGAGGGCTAACAATGACTTGACTATCGATCTGCTATCTTCACAAAGATCCAATACTTGCCCAGAATGTTCAGCACACTTGTGGCTTTCTTGGGGGAACTTCATTTCACAGATCCCTGTTGGTCAAGTAGCACATCACATTTTGTGCATGCAGAGACCAAGTGCTATTTTGTGATCCATGGTTTGAACAAGACTCATTCCTAGAATCTGATAAAGCTGTAGTTGAATGAGGAAAATAGTCTTTATAGGAGAGAAATGGTTGCTAAACCAATGGAGTAAGAAGTTACTGCATCGTACTAATATGAGCCATCATGGTCCAGATCAAAGTTTTTCTCTTTTTCTGCTCTCTGCTTATTGGATGTAAGTCTGAATAATTGACCAAGAACACAACATAATTTTGAATTTCTTCATAATAGAATCATTCTTTCTTCATTTACCAAATATTACTAGTAACCAGGAAAAGGAGTGTAATATAGGAAAAATCAAAATTTTTGTTCATAACCAAAAGGAACTAAGACTCCATTAGTAGTAATTTTTGCCATATTGCTTGTCTTGTTTTAGTGGGGTTTTTTTGGTTAATCGTTGTTTTTTTGGTTTCTTTTATGTTTTGTTTTGTTGTTATTGTTGCTCCTGTGTTAAAACAATCCAACCAAAAGTAACTTAAGGGAGAAAAGGCTTATTTCATCTTATACTTCCATATCATAGTCCATCATTAACAGAAGTCAGTACAGGAACTCATTTCAGAAATCTGAATGTAAGAATGGCTTATTGATATTCTACCCAAACAGGAACCTAACTCACAGCTAAGGAGTAGAGAAGAAAACATGAAAGTATATTGTACCTAGCCCAGTACTACTTGCTTAGAGACAGTGTTTCCTAGAAGGAACTGACTCCTGCATTAATTAACAATCAAGAAATCTCCCATAGACATGCCCATAGGCCAATCGGATTAATGTAGATAATTCTTCCCCTGAAGTTTTGGTGTCAGACCACCAGGATATTATAAGTTAACAATCACATAAATAATAATTTTCTTCTTCAAGAAGTAGCATCGTCTCTATATGTCCCACGCTTTTAGACTTACTTATTTCATTTTATGTGTATGAGTATTTTGTCTACATACATGTGTGTGTGTGTGCATCACATGTGTGCTTGGTGTATCACATATGTGCTTGGTGCCCATAGAGAGTGCAAGGGATCCCTTGAAACTGGAGTTGCAGATGAATATAAACTACCATGTAGATATTAGAAACTGAACCCAGGTCTTCCGCAAGAGCCAGTGCTCTAAACCACCGAGCCATCTCTCTAGTACCTATATGTCTGATTTTTGAATAGGTGTTATTTTTAACTTGTATCTTTACTTTAACACAGATTAAGCTTCTCCTAAATTTTCTAGACTAGTATCCATGGTTCCAGGGATGTCTCCTCTGACAGTAACACTTGGCCAGTTTTGAGAAGCTCAATGTGGATGCTATGGTCTTTAGAGTCTCACTGTGTATAACTTACATAAAAGAGTCAATATGAATATTTGCATGTCCTCCTCAAGAGTCATCAGATGTCAGTAGGAGTTCCTCTGATGCAAGCAGAAGACTGAGTTTGCACAGGGTGCTACTATTGACATCATCTGGACTCTGTGCCTGTCAAGGACTCTTCGAACTTAGAGTTCATCTATTTGATAGTTATGGCTAGGCCCTGTACTGTGGGTCACCCAGCTGTATTTACAGGTCAGAAGATTATCAGTACAATTTATTTTGTAGCAGATAGCAGAGATAGCTATAATAGCTTGGTCATTAAACCCAGGTAAAAAATTCAGATCTATGCATTTATCTCCTCAAGCATTGGAGCACAGGCAGTGGTTAAAAGTACCTAACTGTGTCTTCTCACTGAAGCCAAAGGAAATATTTGATGTGGATTTTTAAATAATATATCAAATCACCTTATTTTAGGTCTTTTTCATTTATTTCATATTCCAGAAAATTCTCTCTGCAACCAGTTCTAAGATCTTCATTTTCAAAAGTCAGATATAGGGGTATATTAATAATGTTTCTTGTTAGCAAAGATGGTTCATAGTGTTCTTTGCCCATTTCAATAGATATCAGATAATTATTAAAGTAGATAATTGACATTTACCAAAAGAGGTAGTTCTTAGATTTAGAAGAATGGATGGAAATGTCTTTGGAAAGGGAAGCTAAAAGTTTCAGTCAAATTTTCAAATTGATTTTTAATTTTCATACTATTATTCATTATTTCAATCTGTCCAGAGAAGTGAAGATGGTAGACACAATGAAAATTCTTTACAAAATTTGTTAATAAATTTAAATGCTTTTCCAATAAAATTAGTTCCTTGATCACTATGCAATCCAGTAGGAATTATCCAATAGGAATAATACTTCCTAATAGTTTTTCTTCCTCCTGCTAATATGGAGATTTTTCTAGCAAGTGAAGACTTCCATCCAATTTGTAAGCATACAGACTAGCACTAGGGCATATTTACATTCTTTTCTCAGAGGCATTTGGATAAATTTTAGGTGACAGAATACAAATGACACATTTGACAAAGGAGAATGCCCCTTTCTAATTATATTTGGAACAAATACAATATCTCAACTAGAAGTTATGAGCTCTTTGGGAAGAGGTGTATTGCTTAATTTTTTTGGTTGTTTTCTATGGCAAAAGACTTGGCATGAAGCAACTTATTTGGGTTTAAAGTTTAAGAAGATGCAGTCCATCATGACGGGAAAAGCATAAGCAAGAGGCAGTTGCAGTCATGAAATAGAAAGCAGACAGGAAGTGAGCTCAGATTACAAATTTCCAAGTCTCTCCCCATGGCCCACATTCTCCATAAAGGTCCTACCTCCTAATGGTTCCAGGACATTTTCAAACAGCACAACCTGCTGGAGACAACATCTTTTAACCTAGGCACCTATGAGGGACATTTCACATTCAAATCAAAAGAGGAGAGTTGTTCCAACCATACTTTCTCTGAGGGTTGATGAGTTAAATCATATACACTGTAGAAACGGCAATTTGGCTTTAGGGGTTATTATGTGAATTTTCACTAAGCAAAGTCTGAGGTGGTACATTATTTTTATTTTGATAAATAAATCTTGCCTGAAGACCAGACAATGGATTGATTAAAAGTGTGTGTCACCTTGTCTGACCTCTAGTGACTTTTGCTTTGACTCTGATCTTCAGACAAAATTTATTTACCAAAATACAAATAATATATCACTACATTAGTCTCTTTGGAAAACAGAATCTACAAACATTTTGTCGCCAGATTCTGTTTGCCCCTTGTGAATTCTCTGCTGAGCGGAGATTGAACAGGCCTGATTTAACCAGGAGGGCAAGTCCTGCATACTTTACCTGGTTTTGCTACTTTGGCAAATTGTCATCTTTGACCTCATTAATAATTGTTTTTAAATGTCCTGAGATTTTCATAATGTCTAATTGGATAAATGTGTACCACATAACACATTTGAAATCTGTTTTATATAGCTGGACCAGGGTAAGTTAGAAACCCTTTGTACCTCCACAACAGTCAATAGTAAGGCTACTCCAAACACATAGCAACCCTCTCTGTAACTATTAGCTGCTTTGTTTTTTGCTGAATGGCATGTTCTAGTTAAGGCTATGAATTCAGACATTTGAGCAAATTCAATCCCAGGCAGATGAAGACTCTCAATTATATAAAGTGTGGCTGTAGCCACATATTCTGCTTGAAAATGCCCTTGTTCATCTCACTAATAAGAATTACTATTATGGAATTGATTCATATTTTAATGGAAGTTTATAGTAGGGCTTCCCAGCAGTAAAGGCGTTTATCTCTTACACTCATTGTTTACCTTTCGCTATTTCATCTGATAGATGGAATGAAGTGGCGAGATTAAGAGGGCTGCCTACAAAGGATTGGAAGATGGAGGTATAAACTGTCTTAAGAAATTGGATAGCTTATTGAGTAATATTGTGTAGTATTAAAATTTAGCTCAAATTTTCCAAAAGAGATTCTGCAGATTGTGAGAGTAGACTTTACGGTTAGCTTCTCAGCCAGTTTCTGTATTACAGCAGTGGTAAAGAAGGCCCTCATGTGGGTGGGTATCCTTTGGCCACTGGGTCTAACTGCTGTCCACAGTACCAAAGGTTCCCAGGCTGCCTTCTACCAGCCTCCTAGTTTAAGTATTCTTGTACTATGGGTTTAAATTTTAGCAGAACAATCTGCCTCACAGGGTACTGTTTTATACTCAGCACACCTTTGTCTTATCTACTATTACCTCACCCGTGGCAGCGAGTCTTGGAAGTCCTTTGTTTGTTTAGAATTTTTCTTTTGCCCATGGTAACGGTGGTACTTGTGAAAGAAGGCTCTTGATTTCCCTTGATGGGATTGTTTTTTACTCCTTTATAATACACACAGAGAAGAGTATGTTTGGTATTAGGTTATCTATCTCCTGGGAGAGCAGATATGAGAGCTCTGTCCTTCTAAAAACTTTCATCCTAGTAAATATACAGGGTATGTATCTGCCATTAGAAAATTGTCTTATCCTGGGTTTTCTCCTGATTCATATTTTATTGGGTTCCTCTCAAAAGCAATTAGAAGTAGGTTAAAGTAGGTTAGAGATTGCCTCCATTTGAATTTTCTTTCTATTCTGAGACAGGTTTAAATGTGTTGGAATTTATAGCAGTAGAACAGTGACTTTATCTATTAGGGCCTTCGTTTCATCTTGGTAACTAATTATCCTGACTTCTCTGAGAAGTTAGTAAAGAAAAAAAAGGTGGAGGGGGACCCTGAATTCTCTTAGGAAGATTGTGTTTATCTCTGAGTTTGTTGAAGATTTCTGCAATGCCCGGAGTTCCTTTGGAGATGCCACCTGCTTGAATTTTTTACAGTGTCTTTGAAACAGTCAGGCCCTTTGCAGCCTTTACAAATAAGCTTGTTGCCCTTCAGGCAGAAAGATTTAAGTATCTTGGAGAGCTGCTCAGCTTTAACTGTGCATTCCTGATTTTGATTAGCAGTGTCTTTGGTTTGGTTTTTGATGATGAATTGTTTATGCTTTGTATCAGGAATATAATCCAGTGCCTTTCATATATGCCAGGCAGGTACTGTATCACTGGGTACTATGCAGCATTGCCAGACTTCTTTTCACTTTATCTTCAGACAGGCTCTCGCTAATTTTTGCTGAACTCAAACTGACTCTATAGCTCAGAAAGACCTGAACAGTTGATCCTTCTGCTTAAGCCTCTGAGTCCCTAGGTTTACAGGTCTACCCCACCGGGTCTGGCTTTTTGTGGTTGTTGCTCTTCTTGAAATTTGGTCTATGAAGGTAACAGAAAACATTTGTGGAAATGAGAACTAGAATGTATGAATTTAATGAAGATGATAAGTTTTCTTCTAGTTTTTCAGTAAGTGTATAAGTTAAGAATTCAAGTGACTTCTCCCAGTCTTGCTTTATAGTGCTGCACTTATAAGTCATTATAAGTCATAAGGCAACATTTATAAGTCATTGGACATTTTTAAAATCATAGCATGGAAGCTGTTTCTGAATTCACAGTAGATAGGAGGCAGTCACTCCTTCTGTGAGTCTTCCTTGTTGAGCCAATAAGTTTCCTTCCAAACCAGAAATGAAGTCTCTTGTTTATAAATTTTCTAATGAAGCTGTCAAGATTCAAGATGTATGTTGGAGAAAGGGCAAATGCCTCTCCAAAATGTTGTGATTAGGTTAGGTTTTCATAAAACTTTTAAACTAAATGTAGAAAGGCTGGACTTCATGGTCAGAAGAGACACAACCACAGTTGGCTCCAGAAAGACTGAGTTCCGGAAAATAACTTTTGGAACCAGAAGAACAGCTGATCAGAACAAAACAATTGACATCAAGCAAAACAGAAGTTCAATGCTCAAGAGAGGACTGACCAGCAGGACCCAAGGATACATAAAAGCCTGTGCTTGAATCGGCACTGATCTGTAACTACTCTGGTGAGAGCAAACCGTCCTTGGGATCTAAAAATTGACTCACCAATATTACTGACTCTCAAATCAGATTTTGTGTCAAACAGTATATTAAGGGTCAAATCTGAGAGAACATGATCTGGGAACACAATTCATGTTAGCCTAAATGACATGTTCTATCATGAACATGGTATTTTTATACTCATGAAACAAAAGGAGGTCTTGAATTAAGTGCATTTATCAAATTCACTGGTAGAGACAACAATAGATGATTACAGCAAATTCAAATTTCGTCATTCAGTTACATGAAGTCGCTAATAGCATCCTTAGTGTGGGACTATGTTAAAGATTTTCCTTGATAGTCAACTGAATAAACAGGTTGATGAGACTGACTTTTAAGTTGACAAAAAGCAGTTCTAGATATTTTTCCCCTTTGAATTGTAATGTTGAGAATTTTCACAATAACAACATTCTAATATGTAGCATTCATTCCAATGCCTCACAATTAAAATATCCTAGCCAGGGGATTTATTCATAGAGTCTTTAACACAGATGTGTTTTTAGAGAAATTCAGTTCATGACAGTCACCACTCATTGATACAGTGCCCCCACCTTACAGTGTTGTAGACAGTGACATGCATGGCTCACTCTTTGTGAGCACATTATCAATTGGTCTTTTTGGTCTTCATAGGAGTGTGTTCTGTAGCAATTCATATCTCAGAGCAAATGTACTATTGCCAGCTAGAACTTCCTTGAGAATTCTTGTGATTTCATGCATGCTACCTACCTCCTAACGAATCACCAGGTTTAGTTACCAGAGTATGGCACCAGTAGTTTGTGTTACTTGACATCCCCAATGCCAGCAAGAAGAAGCAAGAATCATTTTGTAAAATTTTACCTTATTGCAAGGGCCATAAATATGGAAAGGCATCCAACTAAAGGAGTTGTCTTGCATCTTATCTTCCATCTGGAAGATTAAATAGGAAATCAAATTGGAGACATTCACCACCTCACTTTAACATTGTCCCTCCAGTCATGTGGTCAGGCTTATTGATGAGACCCATGGCTTTGGTGTATCTCTCTTTATTGCCTTCCTTGTGTAGCTGGTGGTTTGCATATACCAAGACTGAGGGATCCTGGGTTCCTCCTGAGACAAGTGTACTTACAATATTTGTTTGTAGACGTTTTGCTATAGTAAGAAGCACAAATATATTATTCTGTCCTTTGTCATCTTCATATTTCCTTCTCATAATGGTCCTGGCGTGGTTATGGCTTGAACTTAATTAAAGACTGTAATGGAACTATATAAGTATGCTATACCCTCCCACACCCCAAAGTATGAAACATATTTAAGTCTTTTGCTGGGAAGGAGTGAAGATTGCAAGAATAGTAATAAGATGACCAAATGAAGTTATGTTATGCCCAGTCTCCAGCATTCCTGGGGATTTATTCTGAGACCCATCTTCAAACACTGTTAGGGAGTTTTCTTCTCTGACATTTCACTGATAAATCCTTTAAAACTTGAGTTATATGCTCCTTTCTTTCAGTTTATCTGGTCAGAGACCTATGCAATGCTTGGATGCTAGTGACATCAAAATTAGACATTTGCTAGACCCATCCATACTCTACTTCTGGATTATATGGAGTTGTACATTGTTTTTCTTAAGGAAATGCTCTTAAAACCTAATACACCTATGAGGTAAAATAAGAGACACTTGTATATCTAAATATGACTGTAAGATTATGGAAAAAAATGGACCCTAAAGAAATGAGTATCTTCCCCAGGAATCTCATGCTGGGTGAAAAAAAGAGCTCCAGCCAGCAAGAAAACTTGTCTTCCTGAAAGATTTCAGACAGTTCCAACAACATATCAAACAACTTACAGGATGATACTGAAATCTCAGTAATGAGGAGTCCATAGCAGTGGACGGCCACACCTTGACCAGGACTTCTTAGATATGCAAGATATTATGTCAGGACTCTAAAGAGTGACTTGTATTTGATAAGTCTCTTTATTTCTTTTCCCAACATAGCCACATTGAGTAAATCTCCTTTTTCTGTTTCTCCCTTTCTGTTTTGGTTTTTAAAATAGACTTACTAAGGAAGATTTTGTGTTTTCTTATTGTTTCTATCTCCGTTTTCAGGTCTTGAACAGTTTTATTCATTTCCTTCAACTGTTTTTTTCCCCCTTTTGGCTTTCTTTAAGGAATTTATTTATTTTCTCCAATTTTCATTTTTTTCTTTTTCTTTAAATGATTTATTCATTCTCTCTTTGAGGACCTCTATCATCTTTATAAATTTAGTTTTAAAGTCATTTTCTTGTGCTTAAGCTATATTGGAATATTTAGGGTTTGCTGTTGTACGGTGACTGAGCTCTGGTGGTGATGTATTACTCTGACTGTTGTTGATTAGATGCTTATGCTTGTGTTTGGGCATCTGGGTTTGATGTGACTATAAGTCTAGTTGCCAGTTTGGAGTTTGTCTTTGTTGGATGAGTGTTTTGTTTCTTGTCTTTTGTTTCCTCTCTGGTCTTCTGAGTGGCCACTGTCAGAGTGGCCTGTTATTGAGTAAATGGTCTCTACAAAAGATGGGGGTTGGACTTCTGTCCAGGGAGGCCTCTGGTAAAGCGGGTGGGGGGGTTCAGTCTGAGTTGGGGTTTGAAGTTCTGCCAGCAAGAGCGGTCTCTGATCTAGTTGGGGTTCTTCTGGGTTTTTGGGTCCTGCTGTGGTCTCTGGGGAATCTGGTCTCTGACTTGACCTCTGATGTAGCAGGGAGCTTCCACTGGAGGTGTGGACTGGAGATCTTAGTGCTGGTGTGAGCCCTGACAGAACAGGAGACTTTCACAGGAAGTGTAGTTCACGATAAGTGACTTGAGATGGGGATCTGGGTGCTGGTGTGGCAGGTGCCTCTGCTGCAGGTGTGGGTGGGCTAGTTTGATTAAGCAGGGAGGGGTGTTACTCCAAGGGTGGGCAGGTTCTGGGGGACTGTTGGTAGTCTGTAAGCTTATTTGGGGATGTCAGGGCTGGCATGGGAACTGATGGAGCAGGGGTTTTCTGCTGGAGGTGTGGGCTGCAATGCCTCAAAAATAATTTTTTTAAGCAAACTGTGACCACTTCGGTTAAATCTTTTATATGCATTTTTATCATTTGCAAAAATTATTATTTTTTGCATGACCAATTAAAATACATGTGCAAGTTCACAAATTTAAATATTCTGATCATATATTAAGGTCTAATATGTCCATATTACTTGATAAATCTGGGTAATCTAGACATCTTAAAACCTATTAAAATGATATATTTGGGTACATTAAATACTTCATGAACTTTAAAACGCTAATTGTTTATGTAAAACAACATTTGTTGGGTTCATTAGATTTCATTAAGCTATAAAATTTAATATTATATGTAGAAATCTTTATAAAGCTTTTCTTCCAATATAGATTCCAAATTTACATAACTATATAAAATGTTATCTCATTTATATCATGTGTAACATAAAATTCATTTGATTTCTTCATAGTACTCCTAATATAAAACTGTAGAATGTACGATTTTATGTATAAATTCATATGTTTACTAAATAAATATATATGTTTACTAAATATCTATGTGTTACATTTTCTTCCCACAGTGTAGGCTATAAAATATATAATCTCAACAAACAATAACTTCTGAAATCTTTGTTTATTAAAATATAACTTATACATGATTACATATATATGTAAATTATCTAAATGTTATTGCAATTTATTTATATTTTCGCATAATATATTTAGTACCAAATAAGCTTATAGATAAACTAAACTATGTAAACTAAAGTTGCTAACTTGAACCAGCTTCCGTTTGACTCATAGTAAAACTAACTAAAATTTTAAGAAGCAGAACAGTGATAAAAGGTAAAAAAATATGAAATCAATATAATCACAAAAATAATAGAGATAGTTAATAGACCACAAATAGAGATAGTTAATTGTCCTAAAAATCTGTACAGTTCTGGTCAGGGTGTTATCTTCTTAACCCTTATTCCAATTCTGGTTCTACAACAAGGTCTCTATTATTTGAGGGTAGAATTAACTTTAAAGTAATTATCCACTCCTACTCAAAGATCCATAGTTTTATTCCTAACCAACAATTGCCCTCCCTTGCGACACTAAACTCTTTATTCAAAAGATTAAGAGGATAACTTACAAGAGTGCTTTTGAGTATATATTGTATGCAAAAGAATGTATATGTAAGTACAAATGTGTTAAAGAATTTAAGGATTATTTTAACCACTACTGCCTCTTTAAAAGTAAAACCATGAAAAAATATATTCCTTTCAACATCCTTGTCTCAGCTAGGCCTAACTAACAGAACGATCTCCCTTTTAAAATTGTCACTTAGAAACCTAGTTTGAGGCTTCTACAGAGGTCAGTACTAGAAGCAATATTGCTGAATATTGCAATAAAAGGCAGACAAAAAGATTCCTCTGCCTCACCCATCCCAGTCAAGAATGTTGTCACTTTTCCATGTACATTTTGAAGCAGCTTCTTCATATCTGTTGGAAAACTTGCTCAAACCTGGATAGTCATCATGTAAAGCTATGAACAAAAGATTATGAATGTTTTATCGTATTATCTTCCACAGACACAGCAGGTTCTTCCATTTCAGTGCACTTTGGATTTTTTTATTTATTTGATTTTTAAGGATACCAATCCTGCACACGTTTTCTTACATCAATATGCAAGTACTTTTCTTATTTATTGATACTTTGTTATAAACTTTGGTTTTTATCTATTCTTTGATAGTGCATTCAAATGTGAATGTTTTAAACATATATACATTGTTTAGATATACACACTGATTGGTTGTAAAGGTGTGTGTGCGTGTGTGTGCATGTGTGCACATATGTGGATTGCCTGTGCTTCACAGATTAGGTAAAGGAATTGGTAAATAGAGACATTTTCTTTTTGTTTCAGATATGCACTCTTTAGCAAGGGAAGATCAAAAGTAGAAAGAGTAAGTGTTTTCATACTATTTCTGACTCAAGAAGGAAAAATCCAATCTAGAGGAGTCTTTGATCTTTTGTAAGTATTCCACCTGTCTTGCTGCGTATTCAGTGTCTGAGGTGTAATGCTGTAGTTTGTTTACATGATAAGTTGTGCTAAGTTTCAATGCACACATCAAATATCACTGGGTACGGTGCAGCGTGCCTGTGGCTCTAGCACTTGAAAACACCAGTTCACGGCCTGTCTTTGCAATATCACATGCTACAGGACCATAATTAACTAACACTGATGGCTAAATACATTGGATAAAGTATAGAAACTTCAGTTTTGAACCCTATACTCTCTGTACTGCTTAACTAGTATTAAATACTTGTGTTGTCTGTTCTCAGTTCATATTGAATATCACATTCTGCTTACATACTTTTTAATAAAATCACTATGAATGATTTCAGAAGCTCACAATATATTCACACTTATTTGTGTCTATTCTAACGTCCTCCTCTCTTCAAAGTTGTGGTTATTTTTCTGTTACCATTTACCTTCTGCTTAGATAAATTCCATCAGCTAATGATATTTAGGAATATTTTAAAAATTCTTTTAATTTCCCCTATTTAAAAATTGATTTATTCCCTCTAAATAACGGGATGTCTTTGGCCTAGGCACAGAATTGATGATTGATGAAGGTCTTTAGCATTTGAAAAGATTTGTGTCACTTCCTTAGAAGTTCATAGTTTCCCACGGGGAATTGCCATTAAATTGCTTTTCTCTAGAGGTAAGGGACCCTTCTCTTTGGCTGTTTGCATTCATCACTGTTCCCTTTGCTGTGCTAAGACAGAATCAAATTATTTGAGGAGAGATTTGTCCTGGCTCACAGTTTTAGAGAGAACAGTCCATCATGGCAATGATGCATGGAGTGACTCCATTCATAGCTGAATATTCTTTTTTTTTTCTGGTACACTAATGGCAGTAATTTAAGCAAACTAACTGATTGATTTCATATGGGTATCCCAGTCTTTGCTCATTTTATTTTTCTTCTATCTGTTCTCTCTGTATTTCCCCCAATTTACACTCATTATTGATGTGTTGTACTTCACAGGTTATGTCCTGCATGTGGTTTTCTGTTGCGAACTGGTGTTCAGCTTCTTGTTGGATCCCACTGGTACCGTGAAAGGAGAAAACTGAGAACTCCTAAGATTATTTCCATCTTGCAATAGAAAGGCAAAAGCTCAGCTCCCCACTTGGTGTCACTGACAGCAGGAGTGGAAGGTGGAGCCAGGACAGTTCACGGGGAAACAGGCTTAGTTTCTTGATAGTTCAGCTGGCACAGAGTTGGGATGCAGTGCCCTGGAAATCATCCTCATGTTCTTCACTTTGCTCAGTCTCCTGGAGCTAGTTGAAGATCCGTTAACCCTCCCCTCCTGCTAATATGACCAGTTCTAGGAAGTCAAAGAGCTGCCCTCCTGAATGGTGAGGTCTACAGGCATTAGAGATTCTCCTGAATGGTGAGGTCCATGGGCATTAGAGATCGGGAAATATCCATTCTTCTAGCAGCTGACACTACATGGCTTGACAGGGTCCTGTTACTATCTGGCTGAAACTGGAAAATGTTGCTATAAAAGAATGCTACTCCATTAGGTCACTTCTCCACAGTCTTGTCAAGTGTTGGGGATCTAGGTCTTTCTTGGATCTTTACTTTTCCTTGGCTTTTAATTTCTTTCTTTGGTCTATCTACTGGGACCTTTGGCTGGGTATTATCTATGAACTTTACAGAATATTTCTGAGGTAAAAGAGAACCCAGAGACGTGGCCAAGGAGTCTTTCCACGGGTCTGGAGCCACTAAGAAATGGGTTGTCCTCTGCCTATTTCTCTTTTTTTTTGGCCATCCACTGTATTTTTTAGTCATGAAGGAGAAGGTTAAGCCAAAACTAATGTACAAACATGGTCATGTGACTAGCAAGTACACTATACATTACAGTCAAATCTATGCATTCCCAATTTGACTGACTTGGACGTTTCCTTAATGATCTCCTTGTGAATAACAGATGCCTGTATCAAGAACAAAGGCAAAGAGGCAGGGCTCAGATATTGGGTAAAAGTAATTATGGATGTGTAGAGAAAATCTAAAGGTTGACTATGAGTAGAGCTACCTAACATAGGCCTATGGAATTCTAAGAGGTGTCTACTGCTATGGGGATGTAGAGCCCAGGGGAAACCTGGGAAGTGGGTGTGTTGCTTCTGGATACACAATGTTGTTCTATATTATGTAAATTACATACAATAGGTAACCTGAAGTGCACCTGCTAAAACAACATCTGTAAGTTAAGGGATTGTGATCTTAACAGTGCGGTTTTTGTTTTTTTGCTTGAGAATGACAGAGCTGTTCACTTGGGCCCGCTTGGTGGGGGGACTGGGGTACCTGATGATAAGAGGTACCACATGCTGGTGGCCTTTGGTGTTTATCAGTTTGGACAATAACTGGAGGCTGAAGCAGGAAAACAGCCAGTGAGAAGAAAGGAATTTATCAGCAAAAAAGAGAGCTTCCTGATTGAGAGGGGTCCTAAGAAAGGGTTGCTGCTTCCTGACTTTATCTAGGGACTTTTTATAGGGTGATTGAACAGGCAACAGTGAACTTTGGGATTAGCTGCAGTCAACCCAGCAGAGGTCAAGCCATTCAGGAGTCCCCACAGTCTCCTCAGTGTTTCCTCAGGCAACTCAGTGCGACTGATCACATATGCTTTTCAGCTGTTTAGTCAATAATTTGTCAACTTTTCTTCCCTCGGTAATAGACCTCCATTCGAAGTTAAAACAGATAGCAGTTTTGGGTCAGGCTGCTTCCTTATTCAGCAATGACTGGGTGACCCCAGTCCTAACTGCCGATCCAGATATTTGCTACATTAAGAAAATGTCTTCATCTTTCCTGAAAGCAAAACTAACTGTTTTTTTTTTCTTTTCTTGCACTTTGAAATCACACTAACTGTTTCAGCTTCTGGAGAACAATATTCTAGACCTCCTTACCCCTCACTCAAATCTTACCTAAAATATATTATTTTTGGGAAAAAAAAGGTGGCAGATGCAAATATGAATGCAAATTAGGGGAAATTATTGTTTGATCCTGATTGAATAAAAACAGGGGAGAGGGTCATTTTTCTACCATTGTGTTCCAACACAATTATAACGTATGGTGGTTGCTTTTCTCAAAATAGTAGATGCAAATTTGCTAGGATGGCAGAGATTTAAAGTCATCACAGTATGGATTCAGTATGCTCTTGGCAGAGGGAGGCACGGAAGAGGCAAACTGAAGACCTAGGATTACACAAATAATGAAGCAGCTGTTGTTCTTAGTCCTTAACTTATAGCCAAGTTTCCCCAAATAAATTATTCTCTTTTTTGTGCTGCCGCTTGCTACCATGCAGTTGCCTTCACAATAGAATGCATTTGTATGCTAAGTGAGCACGCACGCCAGGCCCCAGCATACTGTTCCTTCTTGAGACCAGAATATTAAAGATAAATATTTGCAGCTCCTGTGAGAAGAAAGGAAAGAACGACAGAGGATCTGCAGGGCAAAAGTGGGAGAGATGGAGAAGCTGTGAGTGCAACAAGGAAACAGGTAAAGGTCCGACTCCCTGGCACACTGGCTTGGAATGATCACACAGTGACGGCAGAGAACTTCGTCCTATTGTCCAATGCTTAGTGCACCATTATATTGGCAAGTCTCTCCTTTTTGGAGAGAGGAATTACATATAATTTTATGTTATATGACATCATAGAACTTGATTAATTTTCTGTTCAAGGAAAAGAAGGTCTTTCTCACAATTAGAAGAGTATCCAACAAAAATGATGTTTTAATGATCCCTCCAATATCAGTTTCTTTAATCAATACTACCCTTAATCATTAATCAGATAGCTACTGTTCTTATCTCATCTTTGCAATGCCCATTTGGCTTGAGACAATCGAAAAAGCAAAAGGAGGAAGGGGAGAGTTCCTTGTGTATTATGTCAACTTAAAACAAAAATGACTAAAGTAACACAATCTTGTCCTGACTCCATTATGTGTCTGCTTAAACACTTTTCAGCCCTCTAGCCCATTACAACCACATCTGTCTTGGCAACACATTTGGGGTTTTCATCCTGGCCATTGTGTTAACTATATGTGTGAACCAAAATAACTAGTAATTTTACAAATTAAGGATAAAATTAGTTAAAAAAAACTAAGGAATAGTTGAGAAAAATTAACTGTCATGTTGTTTCCATAACAGCTACTATGTTCTAGCTAATTAAATGCTGCAAAGTTACTCTGACCCTCTGGAACACTGATGTAATTATGTGTTTTGCCTTTAAGAATGCTGTGTTCCTGAGCTTTGACACAAAGGGACTCTGAGACATTAGCCTGCTCTTGGTCTCGGGTGAAAATTTAAGGACTACTATACCGTTAATTGGTTTAACTAGCATGGTAGTCTATGTTTTTCTATCATGAGTTATTTAAAACACATAAACACAATGTGTGTGTACATATATGTATATATATATATATTTATAATGCATAAATACCACATATGTGTGTGTATACTGTGTGTACGTATATACTGCATATATATATATAGTGTGTGTGTGTGCATATATATGTACACACACACACACACAAGTGCGCACGCACACACACACACACACACACAGTTTGTGATCCTTCCAAAGGAGAAAAACAAGAAAAAAAACAAATGAAAGATGTCTAGTATGGAGCACCTCCCTGCATTCACTCCCAGTGTCAAGCAAAGCAGAAGTCATCCCTCCATCCATCCTATCACACTGGGACTTCTGCTATACCTTGAACATAAAAGATCAGAGAAATGCCCGGTGATCTTCTTGACTAACTCAACCTTTGACTACGTGGCCATAACAGCCTTACTTCCCGTTCCTACTCCTTTCTCCGTCCAGATCAGAGATAACGTGGTACTGCATCTGCCAGTGTGTGAAATGCTGGGTGAGGGCTGGATGACATAGGCGGCTTTAGAAGCAGGCATCCCTATAGTGCGTGTGCCTGGTGACTCACAGAATTATACTGCATCAGGGAAGTGTGTCCTCTTCATTTTCGTTATTTGCAAGGCGTGTTTCCTCAGAACAAAGAGCATCGTGGCATTACTTTGCAACAGGCAATCCAAATTGTGCTGTCGTGAGGAAATAATCCTCCACAAAAGATGGTGCTGAGATTCAGAATCAGTGGAGAGTTCTGTTGTTGTGGAATACTGAAAATGCATCTGGCCTTATATTAGATAGCCAGTTCTCCGTATTTATATTTTATAAAAACCAATTTTTATAGCTGATTATGAATTTATTTTGACAGCAAGATCCTATTGTTTTGTTTTTTTAACGAAGTAAAGATATTGGAGTTTAGCAAGGCTAAATGACTTGACAAATGTTGTAATTTCTAAGGGGCTACCCCAGGATAAACTCTGGGTTTTTCCTTCATGTTCCTATGTTCACTTGGAGCAGACCTTCCTTCCAGCCTGGGCCACTCAGTTCTGCCTAACAGCAGTTATCATTATAGACTCTCCACCTGAACTTGTCTCCTGTGTCTCTGCTCACGGAGACCTGCTAGAGCTGTCCTCTTGATGGAGAAATCTTATTTTCATCTAAGTACCCCGTGACATTACAGTTGGTGAAATAGTTTTCAATTTCTGAAAGAGCTATGCTGGGCCACAGGCATTGAGCCATGGTTCGAACATTTCCCCCAAATTCCAGGTGCTAGAAATTGATTTCTAGATCCACGCATTGGCGGTGTCTTGAAATAGTTGTCTGGGAGGTTGAGTTATAATAGATCATGAGGTCAGGGCTCTTTGGATGCCATTTCTAAGAGAAAGAGCACTAAGCCACCATGCCTGTTTATCTTACTAAGTGATGCTCTCTGCCACTTAGTGAGGGAGAAAGAGGATCTTCAGTGCATACAAGAATGGCCAAGTCACATTTGTAGCCATCTCAGATTCCAAAACAAAAATGAATTTCTGTTTTTCATAAATTATCTAGTATGTAGTCTTTCCTTATAGCAACAAAAAGTAAACCAAGGCGTAAAGTACATGCTTCCTCATTTATTCAGAAAATACCATTTTCCTAGAGGAAATATGTGTAAGGATCTGTATTCGGTGCTGGGAATACAAAATTCCAGTGACTAGAGCACAGAGCAAAGTGAGACTGATATAGCAACAAATCCTACAACTTTGCTAGCTCGCTCAGTCCAGAACAGAAAAAATGGATAGCAATATGTAAATGTAAAAAGAGAGTACTTGACAGGCCAGTTGGTCTGGAAAGGTCCTGGAGGAATATCTTTGGTTCCAGCAAAAAGAATGCTTACATTGCTCTGAAACTCTCTAAGTTTGAGATTTTACACTATGAAAGATTAATTAATGTTATCATGTGTTTTCATGTTCACGAAATGAACAAGAAGTGCTAGTCTACTCTTCAGCGTGCAGAAGGCTGCCCTGAACAGAGACAGCAGCTCAGATTTCTCCAAGGTTTCTCTGAGCTGATAAAGCCACTAGATGTCTGTATGGAATCAGCTCACATGACGTCTCATGTCAATATTGATGCTATGGTATGTTACTCATGATCAAACTGACATTTAATTTTATAAGAAGGGGCTGCCTGTGAGTGGTAATTTGAAAAGGAGTTGTTATTCTACCTGGGGTTCTACATCTGGTCCTTTTCCCAAATTCTCCTATCCATGTTGGCATGCCAGCTAGAGGTGTCGGTTTTCTGGCCCCAAGATAAAAATCTTTGGGTAATTAATGCCTGCTGAGAGAAGTAGACCAGTCTGCTCCAGGGAAGACCCCCTCATAGGCTGTCTAATCCCTAGAGTCAGCTCTAAATACATGTACATATGAGCAACATTAAATGAACTCAGAAGGCTCTATTTATTAATGTGTAATATATATGAAGATGAATGTTCATATATATATGTGTGTGTGTATGTGTGTGCGTGTGTGTGTGAAATTTGAAAAGGTGCTGGGGTATGGAACATGGGAGGAATTGGAGGAAGAGAAGAGAATCCATGTAAATATAGTACTCATATAGAAAATTCTCAAAGATAGATTACATGTGTGTGTGTGTGTGTGTGTGTGTGTGTGTGTGTGTGTGTGTGTGCAAACTGCAAAAGCCCTCTGGGGGAAAATCTCCCATCTTCAGTCTCCTAGGTATTTCCTTAATGTCTAGATACTAATGAGTTTCAAGGCTGCAAGTAATGAGAGGATAATTTATTGTTTTAACTTCTGGATTCTTCTTCATAATAGTGAATACAGGCATGGTATGGAGGGACACTTCAGATTTTAGCCCAGAGAAACCTTCTCCCAGGAGACCAAGCTTATCAGAGTCATAGAACTAAGAAAGAACAGATGAGAAGCTGGATATAAAACGGAGAGTTTGACAATTAGGTTTCTGCAGCTGGGTGCTCTCAGACACCCACAGCAGTTAGGAGACTGTAGTGCAGATGCCCAGGGACTGTAATGCTGAGCTTCAGGATCACAGCGAAGCAAAAGATGAACCAAGGATGGAATCATTGTCTTAAATACCTGCTGTTTCCACGCCTCAGAGATAGCCTGAACAAACAGCTACAACAAGAAGAAAGGAGACCGACGGTGTGCCTGGAGTCTGATAAATTCATAACATAGACAAATATTTGGACTCTGCCCACACTTTCTGAATTTTCATCAAATCTACCCACGTTGGGGGTTTCAATGTGCTAGAGGAGTTCCCCATAGGCTTGTAGCTACAGGATTCCTGGGATCTCATCGAGGCTTTATCTGCCATAATCCTAAGATTTATTGTGGAGCAGCAGGAATGTGCTTGCTGGTATTATAGGAAAACTAAGCATTCGGATCGGGCAAATACCAAGTTAGAGAGATGTAATGTTAGATTCTGACACGCTTGGCAGTAGCTCTGTCCTCTCACGGAGACCCACCAGCACCTGCAGGCGCTCTGCAGGCAGCTTCCTCACCTGATAACCGAAATAACAGCAAAAGTGATGTTTCTCAAGTTCTCCCATGCTGCGTGTCTGGGAATCAGAAAGCCAGGTTGAAGGCCCTTATTAAGACCCTCCCTCATCTTCCAAAGGTGTAAGACGCTTCCTGTCATGACACATGTGTTCTGATTCTTATGAAGAAACTGCTCATGGAATCTCACAGTGCTGCTGGGGCCTAAACTTTCTTACGAACCCTCTCCATGTTCTTGACCCTCTGCTGTCTCTCCACAGCATTAATATATCTTCTAAAATAGTCCATATTCTCCAGTAATTCATCACTAGAAAGGCATGCCCTAGCCAAAACCTAACAGACAAGGAAACTTGGATTTATCAAGACCAAAGAAAGACAAAGTGTTTCTTGATTCGATAAAATCTCTTTTTGAAATAACTAAACAGAAAAACCAAAGAAAGGACAAAACAACTATTTACATTCCTATCTGGAGGCAGGAAACTGAGAAAGTGGGGAGAAAGAAGGACATTGAGGAAGAAGGAGAGGGACAAGGGGAGGAGAGAGGTGAGGGTTTGGCAAGGATATGGTGTGGACAGGTAAATGACCATAATAAGGTGAAAAAAATAAAACCCATACCTCAGCAGGAGGGGTATTAATACTGTGTCATAACAAAATCAGTGAGGAATGAATGATGAACTCATGTGGTGTCCTCATGATGCAGAGAGAAGACAGCCAAGTTATGAGGGAGGACAGTAACTTCCTCAACTTCCTGCAAAAATCCAGTATGACAGGCTTCTGTCACTCACTAGTTGGGCTGAAGTTAGAAAGAATTACAAAAGGAGATAATGACATTTGGTTATAACCAATTCAAATATTAATACTCTGCAGAATTATAATCTCATCATCTTTGTCTAGAGCCTGGGATGGAGATAGCAGGGCAAAAGTTCCCATTTGAATGCACAGGCTCTGAGGTCAGGGAGAAGAGAAGCCGTGTTACAGTAGAGCTCAGTTTGTGCTGGGCACAGGAAGCCAGGCTTAGGGCAGGGATCCCGATGTGCCGTGCGTTAAAAGGGGGTTTCAGAAGAGTGATGCAAAGGTGGTGTAAGGTAATGTTTGTCTCTCCTAGGAGCCGGTGTGATGGGCCACTTCCGAGCTGGCATCTTTCTTGTCATTGAGGTGGTCTGTGGCACCTCAAGGCTTTGTCCAGTTCTCACCCACTTAGCAATTCAAAGCAGGCATTCTGAAAGATTGTCGCTGAAGGTTCCGTTCAAGAGAACAGAGTCCCTAACAAGTACCTAATGGTAATGCAAAATAGAAAGGATGATGTTTTTCATTGTCATTAGTGGACTCTTAGTATTTGTGTGTGTGTGTGTGTGTGTTGTGGGCATGTTTCTTGTTGTTAAGCTATTTGCATTCCTCTTCCTAAAGTATTCATTAAGTATTCTAAATTTTGAGCACCGTATCTTTATGCATTTCCCTTACATACTAATAACAAGCACTTATCTGAAGAGATGCTTATTCAGTTTTTATCAGCTCCAAAAGAAGTACCTGGAAGGATTTGTTTAGTGATGTGTTGCTGGATAAAGTAGGTTAAAGTTGTCCCTGGTCAAGGCTGAATGAAGATACTCAGCATTCACTGTCAGTAGCAAACCATACCCAAAATTGCCTGTCATCATGAATATGTAATTAGCTAGGACAGTTTTAACAGGGAATACAGGTTGAATACATTTCAGTTCCCCAAGCACAATACTCTAGTAAGGATTTTATGTGTTGTAACAGCTATGTTTATGTGAATATGTGCATTTACCTAAATCCCTCTTCATTCTTATTATTGTATATCTTTGTCCTTTGCCCTATTCAATACTACATCTGGTGATGTTTCTTTTTGCTAGCACGCTGTGTTTTTACTACATATATTTTGACTACCTGATATTTCTTAACCCAAATTCTTAGGATAAGATACATCAATTATTCATAGTATCCAAAAATTTAAAACAGTGATACTATGTGTTAGCAAACTCGTCCTACCCAGATGTCCTTCAATCATACTGCCATAGTAATGTTGTAAGAAAATGATGTTTACAGGGACCGTATGAAGTTTCAGAATGTCCACAGGTGGATGTGGTAACTATTTAAATTTCATAATCAGCCATATGAATTGTGAAGTGTTGATAGAATATTGCTTATCTGGATAGTAAGACATGAAATCACACAAACTATTCCCTTTGGATAAAAGCACAGACAATTTTATAGGGATTTTATTAACACAGTGCAGTGAACATTCTCAAAACTCTATCTTGGAAAATAGCGTGTGTACCACCACAATGAGTTCCCAGTAGCTGTCCAACCAGCAGCCAGCATTCTGGGTTTCCTCAATTACTTCCTAATTACCCTGCCCCAAAATGGCAGTGTGTCTTGCCCCGCCCCATCTGTATAGTTCAAGAGTGCCTGCTTCCTTACACCACTCTCATTGGTTTTCTATGGCTGTGACTAAAATTTCCTGGTTTGGATCGCTCAAATCGCACCCATTTGTCTGATTACAGTTCTGGAAGCTGGGGGCTCCAGATAGAGGCAGCGAGGGCCAGCTGAATCTGACGCTGAGAAAAAAAAAATCTACAGCCAGAAAAAGAAAAGAAAACAACAACAGCAAAAACCATCCAGGTATCTCTCAACTGCTGGTAGCTCCAGTTGCTTCCTGACTTGTTAAGGCTTTCTTTTGGTACTTGCTCTCTTGGATACGACTCACCATGTCTAACTTTTCTCCTTTACAAGGGCTCACCTATTGGAGTACCCCCTCCCCTTGTTCTTCATCTCACCTGAGCATTTGCAAGGATTCTCTTTCCATTTAGGATCACATTCACCTTACCTGGAGATTAGAATAATCTATGCTGGTGGGCTAACTCCAGCTCCTAGTGTCTCCCACTTTTAGCTCCTAGAGTCTTCAGCTTTTCCAAAAGGGCAGATGAATATGTATCTCACAAATTTAACTTGCACATGAGCTGAATGGGGGTAGTGTTTCATTTATTAGAATTTTATTTTGAAATGAATGTAGGCTTGCTGTTACCCACAGCGTCCTATAAACTCATCACTTAGCAGCCTTCTAAACGGTATCTTAACACACTACCTGGGTGGCACACTATCCCACCAGTAAAATGACTTGCTATAGTGCCGTCAGCAGAGTCAGGCACTTGTTAATTTAAACCATGTTTTCTGTTGTGGGACCACGTCACTGTTCATAGTCATCAACTAGTTCCTGAGAGAGTTGTTCAGGACCCAATCTTTGATGAAGCATGGTAGTTTGGTAGGTGTAGATAGATTCTGGGAAAACACAGGAGTTCAAATTTGCAAGATAGAAAGTGTGTGTGAGCTTGACTGTTCCCAATCATAATCATTGCCTGTAGTGTGAGCTCCTGCTGACCTTGGGGCAATCCTCCCGTTCAATCACAGAACCCGAATAAGCCTGGCACAGAACCTGCCTTTTGCAGAACCTTCAGCACTACTCAGTCCCTTTTCGACCCAAGCTTCTGGCTCTAGTTACAGCATTCCTAGATTATATCTGATGCTCACACAGGATGCAGCCTATGGAGGGTGGGTTTTTCACAGTGTAAGGGGTTTCCTAATGCTGTGTGATGCAGTGATAACAGGCACAGAGAATGGTGATGGAATGTGAGTGCAGGCTAGTAAACACCTTAGGAAATGGGCTTGTAAGAACATTTGCTACTTGTAGTCAGTGAGGAGATCTTTGGGAATACTTCCAAAGATGTATCTCCCTGAATTCAAAAATCAAGGGGGCTTTATTTGGGAAATTTATATGCATATTCATTTTGGAAAGTTTCTTAATGACAAGTAGAAGGAGGGGCTTCTCAGAACGTGCTGCGTGATATTAAGCTCTTCACACACAGCTGGTGCCAAGAATTTACTACCATAGTGAGCAAAGTTTACTGTAGGTCAACAAAATGGAAAGACAGGGTGTAGAGCTGTTCATTGTGCTTTTGCTAGGGGCTCTTATCTGAAGGACATGAGAGAGGGAGGAGGAGGGAGAGGAAGCATGGGGAGAGAGATGTTAGTAGTCATTTATGGAAGTCCCTACAGTGTCCCTCACCAACAAGCATGGGAATTTTCTCCTTAAAGTTTAAAAATAAAGGATCTTGCTTATTATTATTTGAATGCAACTATCATTGGTTCATTTCCACTGTTTCATTAGTCATTTGTATTTATTCTGGGGAGAGTTATTGTCTACCCATGCCTCTGCCTGTTTCAAATAAAGCGTTGCCTTTATTTTTTCTACTAACTTTTCTTGCTTTATGAACGTTTATTTAAGTGGAGTTTTCTTTATAACACATTCTTCCGCCTTTTACAGATTTGGTTTTCTGTCACAGATCAACTTCTCAATTATATTATGGCCTGGGATTTAGTCAACACATGTGTAAGGACCAAGGTCAGGTCTTCGATGAAGAGTTCTTGGAGCCAGGGCTACATAAGTATTTTGTGCAGCCTGAGTAAGCACACACTTGTGTGTTTCATGAGACCCAGTTTAACCATGACGTCAGACTCAGCTGCCTAAATTCATTTGCAGATTTACAACAAAAGCGTTCAGAAATCAGATTTAGGTAGCACACGTGTATTGAGGAAGGTGGGACTAAGCTTTGGAAAACAGCAAGCGTGAGCATGCAGACTGCAGAGTTTCCACGGCGCAGAGTATATTTTGTGGTGTCTGGTCAAATTTCCAAGCCAATGCATTAAAACCACTCATCTCCTCTTCGGTTTGTTTGTTTTATTTTTCAACAACGTGAGATAAGGTGCAATCACAGATAGCCCGCCTACTTGGAGACAGCAATGGTCAGGGTTGCCCGGGCACCTACCCAGGGACCTGCATCACTGCAGTTACCATGTGGGCTTGTTCTCTAACTTCCTGTCCACTCGACGTTCCTCAGAGACTGGAAATATGAACAGCAGATCAGGTTCCGGACTGCCTTTGGCTTCGATAACATATACTCAGTAATTTTCCTTTATGCTGTTTCCAGTTACATAAGACGTCTTTTCATATTCAGACACTATCTTTAAATGAAAATTATCCGTAAGTGGGAAAAAAAAAAGCCACACAAATCATCTTCAGTGTGAGGACAGCGGAGCTGCTCCTGCATGTAACCTCCAAAGACCTCGGAAGACTCTTGGACCATTTAGCTGAAAGGACATCAGAGGTTTATGTTTTGTTTTGCTTTTATATTTTATTGAAAATAGATTCTGCTATCGTATGCTGCCTCATGGAGAGCTCTCACACAGCTGCTCCCATGAACTGCACCCAGTGACTTGTGTCTGGGCTCCAGTGGCCCCAGATTCACTGTGGCTTTGAAGTCAAGGGTCCAACTCCTCCCTGCTCCAGGAGTTAATAACCGTGAACTTGACTAAGTCACTTCAATTTCCTGTCACAAAAATGGAACTGGTAAGAGTAAGTGAATTAGGGGTTTCTTAGAAAAACCACTTAGATTAGATGCTTTCAAGACCATCCACGCACAGAACCAGGCCTGTGAAACTGTCACATGCTGTCATTATTACCTCCAGAGTGGGTCACACCTGGACCCATCCTCAAAACCCAAGAGAGAAGCTGCAATGTGAGGCTGTGAATGCTCCACTGTGAGTCCGCGGGGCAGGACTAATCTCCTCAAAGGTCAGTCCACTTTGCTTCTCTCTGTTCGCTGTGAACTTTGCCCACCATTTCAGAAACATGTATTACTCAGAGCCTGCCCTGGGCAGAACTAGCAGATAAAATAGGCAATTTCAAAAGCTCTTTCCTAATAAACTGCTAATGGGTAATAATGGCTTAATGCATCTGCCAATAGCACGTCTACCACTTTACAGGATGCTCCTGGGCTTGTTCCTGAGAGAGGCCAGCAGTGGCGTTTCTGTATCCAAAGGAGTTTTCTGAGAGGACCAGAGAGCTCCGGGGTTTCCCTTGCCATTCTTGACACATCGTGAGTACCCCTGCACAACTGCAGTGGGTAGCTGTTTCTTTTGTCCATCTAGACTCTTTTCAGTTCTAAGAGAACGAAGCTTTGTTAACATAGGACACCATCAACAGACCCCCTCCCCTTGCCAAACAGAACTCAGCTAGACTGAAAAGTTTTCCACACTAGTGAACACCAAGGATCAGCCAAACCTGGGGATCCTTTGTGCTGTCACGTGTGGTACAAAGTAGAGAAGACAAAAGGAGTGGAGAGAGATAGATTTTGAGGGACAGTTTTAGGGCAGCCCCATTCAGAGATACTGAGGCCAGGGTTTAGCAGGTCGCTTATTAGAAAAAGTTAAAGACCACTTCCTCAGACGCCTGCCTAATTTGCTACTTCATTACGTTGCTTTGTATGACTTTCTACAACAGGCAACTAAAAGACTGTCATTAGTGCAATGGAGTTTCTATGGAAATCGTCATCACTACCATGCAAAGAACACAGAACTTAAGCTGTGTTGTTCACAATCCGGGAGTGTACAAAAGTTAAAGCATAGCTTATTATGCATTTCTACTATACAAGCTCTTGGAAGGATCTACGTGCTTTCTTTAAAGATTGTGTGTGTGTGTGTATATACATATACATAAATATATGACATATTTTAAAATATAGATACATTTGTTTAGTGTGTGTGTGTGTGTGTGTGTGTGTGTGTAAATAAGGGTATAGCTTGCAGGATTCCTACACTTTCTTTCACTATAAGGTCTCCAGGGATAGAGCTCAAGTGTGTAGGCTTAGCAGAAAGTACTTTTCCCTGCTGGGCCACCTTGCTGACCCTCCATGTGTCTTCTTCTGGGAGTATGCATGACTTTTGAATCAGACCAAATCTTCAGTCACTACTCAAACACCTACTCAAGTTCTTCACGTTCTGTCTGCAGGAGGTTCTTTGTCAACAATGCCACTCTCAGAATTCTTGCTTTGGTATTCGATATTTGAGACCTTGGATTTTGACTTCCCAGAATCTTCATTTTACTATTTACTCATTTATTAGCCCTGGGGAATGATCTGAACTATTTCATCTTCAAGTTCATAAACAAAATGGTACAAATATGGCTGAAAGACTTAAAGTGAAATGAGTCGGAAGTCTATGATCCAAGATATGACATCAGTGGTGATCTGCCATTGTGGCTAAGAAGGAATCTATCTCTCCAGCAGGCAACACAACACTGCATGGAATAGACACTAAATAGATATTTAGATTTAAAAACTGTATCCATAGACTTGCCTCTGCCTCCTTGAAACCCCTCCTCCATCACATGGGAAGTGCAACAATAATGGTTCAAACAATGATTGCTTGTGATGCCCTGTAGTTTCCAGACCCACTGCCTCGGTTTTATTTGGAGGAACAGAGCCAGTCACTTTCCTGGTGGGAGCTTCTCACTTGGTCCTGGTGGCGTGCACATATATGTTCAGGGTGGTTGCAATGATGTTAGTTCCTCACGTCACTCTTTAGAGGCTTGCAGGAGACAGTTTTTGTTTTCTTGGTATGAGAATCATTAGGCAACTGGATATTAATATTTAAAAATTATTTTTTGTTACCTAAATTGTGGGGGGAAATTATAAATTAAGATGCCTAACTCATGCTTAGCTGTTCTAAATGTGTCTGTGCCAGCAGTCACAGGCATGATCACCTGTTGCCCATGCTTCTTGAAATTGCTGACCGAGGGTTAATTACCTAAAAGCCTCAGGTAGCCTGAGGAGCTCTGAACCGGAGAGTTGACTTGGCTGTGGACACCTGTGGAAGTTTCTGGTCAGGAGATCCATGCACCAAACATGCTATCACTTCCTAACTGCAGGGAAAGTAACCTTGCAGATAGACTCTCTCAGCCCTCTGATTTTCCCCTTTCCATCTTACAAAGCCCCAAGTCCCTCACATCACAGATGTGGAGTCTTACTTCCCTAGAGGCTCACGTTAAAGAACACTTCTGTTTCTAGAGAAAAGTTCCTCTGTTCATCCCTTTATTTTCTGGTCCCCTCCATCATTCCCTGTCTAACACTGACTATCCACTTTTCAGCTAAAGGTCTGCAGAAAACCCATGTCCCTTCATTTTTGCTTTGCTTCTTTCCAACTACACGAATGACATTAGCCCTCAAGTCGTTTAAAAGCTTGGTGGCAGTTTCCCCCTTACACAGAGAATCAGCTGCCTGAGTTCTTCTGCTGCCTCAAAAGCACAGGGCCTGAATGAAATATCATGGAAAACAGTCAGAGTAAACCGAGTTTCCCTTTGAAGGAAGGATGGAAACTCAATGAAAGCTATGGTTAATTAAGCATTCAGCTTCTCTGCAAAACCCCTTAGGGGTATTGGGTCATAGAAATGCTAGCGAACAAGAGCTCATACCGTCTTTAAGGGCGCTGAACCACATTATTAATTTTTCAAAGGCATTTCACTAAACAACCCAGAAGATTGCACCTGTGAAATAAGGCTAGCCTCTAGCCACTTATTTCCATTCCTAGAATACTAGCTATCATTTTTTTTAACATTCTCAGATCAAATGGAGCATTGCAAGTGAATAAATTTTTTAGCAAATAGTCAGAGATCTTTATGACTTAGCAGGGTTTCTCAGCTCAGGAAATAGCAGCGCTGATGAAGGTGATGATGTCAATGAGGACACTTACTTGTTTCTGGTCAGTAACACAGATTCAGGAGAAAAACCTGGCTAGAACTGCTCGATTTATTTCACGGAATGTTCGTCTAAGACAATGAAGCATCATTAAGCAACAGGACACTGGTCTCGGAATGTATTAAGTCAGAGTATATTAAAAAATTTGAATCATTACATTTTATTTTTTAACTTCACATTTATATAGAAAAGTTTGTAAAATTAGGGTAACAAGAAATTTAACACTAATTAAAATCATGAAATCTCAAGTCGATTACTTGTCTGGTCAATTACTTTAGTGTCAGAATTGTTCTATCTCTTTCTGTATGGTTTCATTAATTTTCCTGTGATTCCATTATTGTTGTTGCTTGCTTGGTAGATAGGATCTCTCTCTACATAACCTTGGTTGTCCTGGAACTCACTATGAAGAGCTGGCTGGTCTCAAACTCAGTGATACACCTGACTCTGCCTCCCAAGTTCTGTGATTAAAGTCATTCAACACCAAGCCTCGCCTGTTGACTGTTTAATAAAGTAAAAATAATAATAGTATCACTTCATCGTGAGTAAGTCTTAAATTAATAGAAGTATCTCTGATTCATCAAGAATCTAAGAAATTTCAGTCATTACTACTATGGATTAAGGATCACTGTTACTGTATTATTTACTCTTCAACAGAGTAACAGAATTTATAGGATGACTCTCTCGCTGTATGTATAGAAAGCAGACTTATAACATGACTTACAGGCTATGCTTCAGCTAATCTAACAATGGCTACTTATGAATAGAAGGTCTAAGAATCCATCACACTTTAGTCTACAAATCTGGCTGTCTCATCTGGTCTTCAGTATTGTCTCTGATGCCTGTGAGGGAATGGATTTGCTAGTCAGGGCAAGAGCAGGTGGGCGAGGAACAAAGGGTGAGGCCTCCTTTTTCCTTGTCTTTTACATAGACTTTGAGCAAAAGGTGAGACCCATATTAGAGCTGGGATTTCCCACGCCAAAGATGTGCATTAAAGTTATGCATGTCTTTCCACCTCAAAGATCTGGACTTGAAGCAGCTATTGATAATTCAAATGATTTAATTAAGCAAAAATTCCTCACACATGTTGCCAACATTTTTAGTTACTGTGTGATAAAGCCAAATGGACAATAAAAA